CGCAGCCCGGAGAAGTCGGGTGCCCCCCGCCACGCCACCCCACCCCTGTCCCCTTCCCTTCCAGGAAGAAGGAAGGAAAGCCAGGCACCCCTTACCTTGCAGACCTCCCCAGGGCTTATATCCTCCGTCTTCCCTTTGTCAAATCCCAAATGGAAACCAGCAACATATCCAGGGGTAACCAGACCAACATTGGGCAGCGCGTGAAGTCCAAAAGGATGGCAGAGCTGTCTCTCTCCCTCTCCCTCCGCTCCTTCCACTCTCTTACGTATATATATATATATGTATACACACACACACACACACAGACACTTATATATACGTATATGTGTATATATATATATGTGTATATATATATATATATATAAAACAGATCAGGGGAAAAAAATCCTAAAAGAAATGGAGGTGGGGAGGAAGAGGAAAGGAGAACCTTTGGTGTCTCTGCAGACAGGCAGGTGGAAGAGAAAAGCTGAAAATAATTAAGCCTTTTTCGGAGGAATCCTTAGGAGAGAGCAAAAATGCAGTTGAAAGCCAATAAATCATTAGATCCAATCAGACAATCAAGTCTTCTTCTTTAAAAAAAAATAGATATAGAGCAGGGTTCAGAGTAGCTTTCCCGGTAGCAAAGAGAGAGAATGATCTTCTCCGGAAAGATATGTTTGTTTAAAATCCACTCGTCTGCTTTTCTTTCCTTCTCTCTCTTCTCCCCCCCCTTTTTTTTTTTTTTTTTTTTAATTCTGCTTCTGAATCTCTCTCTGTGAAACTAGATCCAGTCTTTGTAGCCAGGGGCTGCATTAAGGATTACATCAGGCTTTTATAAGCTTTCCAGATCACACATTTTAGTGAGAGAGAGAGAGAGAGAGAGAGAGGGAGGGATAGGAGGGAGGGATAAAATGCACACACATACACACGCACACGCAGGGATCGGGGCTTTGTAAAACAGGCAGCTATAGGCAAGGACCCTAACTGCTACACTATTGCACCGGGCATGCTCCGCTAGCCTATAGGAGGAGAGGAGGGATGGATGGATGGATGGATGGATGGATGGAGCAGAGGAGCCAGCGAGAGCCGGAGCGCGTTGGCGGCCAGGCAGCGCAGCCTCCCCGGGACAGCTTAGCCCTAAACGGAGAGCCAGGAGGTGAAGAGGGAGCAAGGGAAGGGGAAGTAGCGGGGGATCTGCCCCCCCCTCCCCAAAACCTGCTGGGGTTCAGCCCGGGAGAGGTGCCAGTCCCCGCAGCGGGATGCGCAGGGACAGGAGCCAGCGAGAGCCGGAGCGCGTTGGCGGCCAGGCAGCGCAGCCTCCCCGGGACAGCTTAGCCCTAAACGGAGAGCCAGGAGGTGAAGAGGGAGCAAGGGAAGGGGAAGTAGCGGGGGATCTGCCCCCCCCTCCCCAAAACCTGCTGGGGTTCAGCCCGGGAGAGGTGCCAGTCCCCGCAGCGGGATGCGCAGGGACATGGGTGCCAGGGAGGGAAGGAGGGGGACGGCCAAGGCTTCATC